AAAACAAACAGAAAGAAAATGCAAGCATCAAGTTTAACTATTTTTCAAAATATCAACTGAAGTTTTTGTTGACTATTTTAATAAATCATTATTTGAAGAAATAAAAATAAAGAATTCTAGTCAAACAGTTGATCAAAAGGAATATTAAAAACATGTCAATGTCAAACTCTGCTGTAATTAGATTTCTTTCTGATTCACTCTGCATATTGGCTGGATATAAGTACCAGGAAGGCAGAACAGAAAAGTCATTTTCTGTGCATAGGCTCTGAGCATCCTATCCAGTCCACAAAGCAATTCCACACATTGAAAGTGATACAGTGGCCAATTGAGAACATTTCCACCAGAAAGAGAGATGACCCTGGTGACTGCCATATATGCTTAAAAGCATGCCTTTGTGGGCTAAAAGGCAACCTGCCAACATGCAGGAGTGCAGTCACCTCCATGACTGGTTCTCTCATCACAACCATGACCTCGCCTGAGCTTCACTACTCACACCCAACTTTTCACACATAGAATGTGGACAACAGGCCAACTTCAATGCAACCAAGCTACTGACACCAACCAGCATGATTTATAACACCTTGAAGCCATTGTCACCACCTAGCTCCAGATCTCCCTTGTCATCATCACTATGATTCCATTTCATTGATAGCCATTTGACCAGAATCCAACTGAGATATTCCACTCAATCAGACTTAACCATCTGCTCCAGACCTTCTAATCATCAATACCATGAATCCAACCGTTGATACCACATTCAACCAGAATCCAACAAACATTGCACTCAACCCACTCTAGGCCTCCCTCATTGTCGTACTACTCTATCTAAGTTTACCAGTTGTACCCAATCCCTTGTTGCCACCACCGTAATCTTTGCAACCAATACACCCTACCATGAATCAACCCACCACTGGGATCTCAATCCACCTTATCTGGCAGTTCTGCTTCAACATCTCAGCATCAAATGAATACCAATCGATCAAACATCATCACAGATGTCGATTTCAACAGTAAAGAAAAGCGTTTGTCAAACCCCACCAATGGCTAATTCACTCCGGACATATCCAGTCCCCAACCCAAGAAATTGATCAAAGCCCAGCACTAATGACAACACTCTTACACCTAATCACTTTCCTGACAAACAGAAACTGACGTTAACAATTCTTGTCAATTTTCAAACAACTATAAATATATCATGCATATTTGACAAATACACTGTTGAAAATTTAATCGTTGTTATTCTTTTCTTTAGCAACCAAACGCTCATTATAACATCAAGTTGAATTATTTGGGCAGCTGAAATGACTTATGCCCTTGTATTCCAATTCAAAATCACATGAAATGCTAACAAATTAAAGTCTGACAAAGTAGAGTTTCTAAAATAAGCACAGCAAGCAGCAACCTACTGGGAAATTATTTCTGCAATGTTTTTTATCAAGTCATCACAGCAGAATGCTGATTAACTATTTAGAGAAAAAGAACTTTTTCCAACAACAGTAAAGACAAAATAAAAAAAAATAATAGAAAAGCGATATTGCAATTTTTTACTTTTATGAATAGTTATTTTTGCTTTAAAATCAAAGATTTACAAAGCCAGTTCACAATGCATCATCAATTACTAGAATTTCCTAACAATACATACTTGTAATCATTTACATTAATATTATGTAACCTTTGCCGTTTATTTTTAAATGATCAAAAGATTTCATTTATATTAATTCTTTGCCTGTTCAGGATATTTTCATGTGTACGATCTAAATGTTAAAGTTTGTTTTCAGATTTATAACTATTGCAAGGCAGAACTCAGCTTATTTGGTAAATAGAATTTGCTGATATACAGTGTTTCACAAGTTATTTACACTTCACTCTGTGCCTAACATGTGATGTCAAGGTTATAATCATTTCAGTAAAGTTGAAAAATAGATATCTTTCATTTGAGGCCTTACATTATCAATCAAGCGTCCTGTGGTCATATATGATGCACAAAATGGTGTCTTAGGCCCTTTCTTCAGATGTCCTGCTCAATAGTAGACTCTTTTCTTAAACATCTTCAGTTTTACCACACTTTTAAAATCACAGGTTATATGCACTACATTGATGCATAGATATAGAAATCACATGTTCTGTGCATCACATATGATGTACAGGACAGGCAAAGGGTTAGGAAGCATTTATTTTATATTGTATGTCAATTTGAAAAGACTCTGCTGCTGCTGCTAATGAAACATTTTAATTAATCCATACCTTAGTTCTTGTCAGATAAAATCCATGAGAACAAAGGGAGGATATTCCTTTACCAGATAACACTTGATGATGGTTGAAGAATAGACCAGCTGAATTATGTAAATGTCCAAACAATTTTGTGTAGAGACTAATCTTCCTTTTATGTTGTTAAAAATTGACAGTTTGAGCAGAAAAGAAACATTTCCAGTAGGGTCATATTTAAAATCCAATGTCCCAATTTACTTTAGTTTACCTGAAGAGAACTGTCATCGTCTGTGCTGTGTCTTCAGGATGTGAGGGATCATCCCCTCACATCCTGAAGAGACACAGCAACTCTACAACTTATACTCTGTAGCTTAAAGTAAGGTTTCTCTTATCACCATCCTTACTAATCACTGTTCTTCTATCCATTTACACAAGACAGGTTATTTGCTGTTTCCCTTCTACCCCTCAATATGTTCTGTGAGCAGGGCCATTGCAAGGGTCTGTTCGGCCCTCTCCAAATCTATGATATGCCCCCCACCACCACTCTATTACATCTCAATTGTAATCAGGTAATATTCATATAAAGTCCAAATTTTATTCTAACCTAATTATGTACATGAATAAATCATCAATCCCTTAATTAAATCATAGATTTCTCTACTCATTTCCTTACCAAATCCCAACAAACGGCTTCTTGATTTATTTCTTACGTTCTCTTCTAGTGCTTGCTGAGCTTTGCAACACTGTCCTCTTGGTGATGCAAATCACTCTGTACTTTCTATTGGTATTTCATTCCAATCTATTAGACAGGAACCTCCTGTCTTTAAGACCTCTTTCTGTTACCAGCATGCTAATTATGATTGACTATGACTTTCTTTAAGATGCCTCTTGGAATGACATTTTTGACATTCATATTGAGAATTGTGCTATTGAGGTTTCCTTTTGGATCAAAACCGCCATAGATGTTTCTAATTCCTTCTTGGAAATACCAAATGAAACCTCAATCATCTCCATGGTTCACACCAACATGCTCTGCTGCTATAGCCCACAGGAATCACTATGTCCAGCTTTTTCAGCATTCCCATCACAACAGACACCTATTTACAGCTGCACATAATAAATGTAAATGCACTCTTGAAGATTCTAAGTCTCTGTTTGCTGAAAGAACAAGGCACTAACAACTTTGACTCTCATGATTACTGGTAACTCTGTAATAGTGTAATAAGAGTAAGTTTTCTATTCCTCTTCTCTTCAATCAATTTCAGGTGCTAACATCTACTGCTGATAAAGCTGAATGTTTTGCCTATAAAGTTTTTCAAAGTCTACTCTTGACTCCTCTAGAGTAGCGTAACTTCCCATTTAATCTTTGTTGAGTGATAAGTATATAACCTCTTCTATGGTTTCTGCTATCATACCTAATCCAGATCCCCACAACAAATGTGGACCTAATGATACCACCATAATAGTCATTAAGAAGTGCACTACCAAACTGACTCTCTAAACTATATAATAAATGCCTCATTGCCTCTTGCTTTCCTGCCTCTTGGAAATCCTTATCTGTTGTCCAAGTTTTAAGAACTCGGGTAAACTGTCCAACCTTTCCAACTATTGGCCTATTAACTTATTTTGATAAACTGTTAGAGGCCACAATCAATGCCGAATTAGTGAAGCATCTCACATCACAAGGCTTTCTTTCAAACAAGCAATATGGCTTTCATTTCTCCAGAACAACTGCTGACATATTGATAATTGTGGAAAGAATCTATCAAGCTATAGATAAGAATGGTGAAGCTCAAGTTATTGCTCTAAACATCTTGAAAGCTTTCGACAGGATTTTCATACCAGTCTTTTCCACAAGCTGAAAAGTTAGTCTCCAGACAAATTTTTGAACTGGCCGAGTCTCTATCAAATTATGAAATGAAAGTTATACTAAATGTCCATTCTTCTACAGCCTTTTGTACTAATCCAAGTGCCCTCCACAGCTCTATCCTTGGCTCTACCTTTTTCATTAATGACCTTCCCAATGACACCAGCTTTCAGCCTTGTATCTATGTGGATGACAATGATTTACTCCTATCTCAATAGTAAAGCTGATCAGTTTGATATTGGCTGCCAATGTCAAAAAACAACCTTCAGTCTGTTGTTAACTGGGGGCAAAGGATGGCTTGTTAATTTTAATGCTTCCAAAATTAAACTGCTCTATCAATCATCTGAGAGACCCCTTTCTGCCTTTCATCAGCATGGCTGATGCTAACCACCAGTAAAGTGACTCATTGAGAATAATGTTCTCAGCTGCATGAATTGAAAAGACTATAATGAATCTATTGCTAGGCCAGCTAAGAAAGTTAGTCCACTGTTTCATGCTGGACAAATTTTCTCTATCTATAAATCTATCATTTGTCCATGCTTACAATATTTCTACCATATGTGGTCTATTGCTCCTGCTATATATCTAGAGAGCCTTGATAAAATCCAAAAAAAGAATCAACATTATCATTGGTCATGATCAGGCATAAATCTTTTCTACCACCATAAACTTGTCTCGCTGTACCTTTTCTATAAATACTTTCATGGTAATTGCTTGGATGAGCTCTTTACTATGGTACCTAGACTTTATGAATTTAATTACTGTGCTAGACTAGACAACCAATTAACCTATAGCAGGGGGGAAGGTGGATTTATACCTTTTCCCAAGGGTATTTGTGCTTAGGTAAATATAATAAACCTAAGTGGAACTCTGGACTCATTAACAATTCTAAGCCATTATCCAACAAACTACCTGCATATTCTAGATTACAGCACTTGGTATTCCCAAAAGGTTACCCATCTAGGTACTAACCAGGCTGGATGTTGCTTAGCTTTAGTGAACACATGGAAACTGGAGTCTCAACATGATTGTATGTCTTGAATGACTAAGAACAGGAAATTCAAGTAGAGTTGTTATTGTTATTCCAGTCTTGCTGATGATATGCTTATAAAAGGCAGGAGATTTTGCAACAGTCATATGAATGCTTTTCTCTCAGTTGGGAGAATATTACTGCTCATGATGAATTGTTATTCTCTCAAAGAGGCTCCTTGCCTTGAACACCTGTTGGGGTTCAAGTTATCTCCGAATTTCAAGTGGAACATATGATCCATTACTAAAGATACTGGTAAAATGGTTAGTTCTATGTGTGACTCCAGAAAATACCTGGCTCCTCCTACCATGCTCTATCTTTACAAGAGTGAGATCAGCTCCAAAATGCTGCCATATCTGGGCTGGAGCTGCCTAGTCCTCACTTGCCTGTTTTGACAGAGTTCAAAAGTATCTATGCAGCCTTGTGGGTGATGAATTATTTTCTACTCTATAACCACTTTACTACTACACTATTACCATGGCAAATGTTCTAATGCTACAGTCCTTAGTTCCCCCAGATCTAGCCTTCACAACTGAGATCCGGCATACCTATACATATACTCTGACAAATCCTCCCCCATTCCATACGTATTCCATCAGTAAGAAGGCAGTTTTTTCAGATGACTTCTTCCCAAGAACTGCTACTTTGTGGAACAGACTCCCAAGAGGATGCTTCCACAATCACTCTTAACTACCTAAAGTCCTAAAGTTAACTGTTTCTTTCCTATCCCCATAAACTGCACTTCTTACCTCCTCCTCCTCCTCTTATGCTCAAACAACAACATTATTCAGTAACCCTTTAGCTAGAGTGGCAACAGGGTCTTGTATTTGATAAAAGAAAGAAAAAAGACAATTACAGTAATAACTGAAGAAAAAGCAACTTTAATTATCCTTTCCTCTATTTTCAAAATGATTCCCATTCTATAATGCAAATTGCAACATAGAAATATTTTTGGCAGGGAGATGTAAAGCCATAAAAAGATATGAGATATTCAATGAATTGCAGATATCTCTAAGAAAGGACAAATAAGAGAAATATGAAGGAAGTTTTGTATTGTCTGAAAACAATATATTTGACAAAGCCTATACAATACTTTGTACAATATATAAATGAGTAAACTGTGCAGAATATAAAGAATGAGATATCTAACAATATTTTTATGTACACTGACAGGACAAAAATAAACACCTATATTTTCAAACTAATGTCTTTATATTTCATAATACAAATTTAAATTTGCTTGACTTGGCATTGGTGAATTTTAAAGTTTACTCTCTTGCACATCTGGTTTACTAATTTCTCTTTTGAGATATTGTTGTAAACTACAGCAAGGGTGTATTAAGGTTGGGGGAAACACCTAAATGATAGTTTCCCCAACTTCTATGGGGGTAATAGGTAAAAAAAGGAAAGAGATGGGAGGCAACAAAATTACACTGCCTCAGAAGGCCCAGCAAATTTAGGAACAAAATGCCCATAGGACTGACTTCACAAAACACTGAGTGTTGCCCATTGCCAGTTTTCCCATCACTTTCATTGACAGAAGACAGAAACCCAGATCTAGACAAGTTGCAGGGAGGCCTGTTCCTGAACATGCTAACCTGGAAGTAACTGGTTTTGATAGACATGTCTGCATATGATCTGGGGACTCTTACATCTGTACTGGGGCACATTAACCACAAATATCAAATCAGGTTGAATTCACAACATGAAACCAATTATATTGAATTATATTGAAGTTATTTGGGACTTTCCTTATTTTATAATCTAAAATGACCTTTGACATGTTAGCTTTTGTGCATTCAAGTATTACTTCACCTTCCACTGTAGATGATGACCACTCCCCAACCTATCACAACTGCAGTAGATTTTTGCCAATACTGATTTCATTGTTGTCATAGAAAGATAACACCACAACCATAAAATTCAACAACTATCATTTGTCAATCATAATCTGCAATGGCAGAAAAAAGTTGTCAACTGATTAATAAAAGTTAACTATTCAAATAGTGAAAGAAGTTTTTCAAAAGACAAGCAAGATATTAAAAAACGTAAAAATTTCATTAGAAGCAAAGAAAAGTGTACTGTTATGTAATATCTACCATCCTATATGATAGTGAATGCTGGACTATCTCCTCACAGATAAAAAAAAAGACTTTAAACAACAAATATGGTTCTAGAAAAAGAATACTGAGAATACCATAGACCAAACATGTGAGCAATGAGAAAGTTTTAGAGAAAATGATAACAAAAAGGACATTTATACTAAACATCAGGAAGAAACAGTTGGAATATCTAGGGCACATAATGAGGAAAGAGGGCTTGGAAAATTTGATACTCAGCAGATAGCTTGAAGGTAAGAGGGAGAGGGGAAAGCTTTGGTTAATGGATGGCAGAGCAAGATTTACAAAAGATAACAAAAAGGCAAAATTTATTACGAGCTACAAAGGATAAGAAATTGTGGAGAGCCATGATCATCAGCGTCTTGAAGAGACATGGCACATAGAAGACTTCATATGAAAATACTTGGAATTGGAGATGAGTGATATTTTTATGCATTCCTGCAACTGCATTTATACAAGATCAGACAGAACTTCATCTTCAATGAAAAAACTGGTTTTATTTCTTTTTTTAATTTTTCTAAATAGCTACATGTTCATAAACAAATCTGTGACCAGATATTTACCACATGAACCAAAATGAAATACAGTGTTTCATTTTTTTATTCCCAAGCTGTATAATATTGCTGTTCACAGCTACATTCAGAATTTCCAATAGCAATATTCTATGGGAGTAGTTAATTCTATCTCTCAGCCTGAACATGTTCCTGTCAAAGTCTGACAATATGATTCACAAATATTACACATTGTCAAAATTGGATTATCTTCAGTGAGTTAATATTTAGTGAAGGTTAAATCTAATTGAAATAATAAATTCCTTTATATCAGGTCTTTGTACTCATTCACTCTCTCAGTTCCTACTAAGATATTGCAATTGTTTACAAAATAAGACATGACTCTTCATAGTCAAACACAACCTTGCTTATAGGCTCTTCCCACCCCCAAAAATTATCTTCCTGGGTATGATGATAAACTACATCCAGCAGCAAGCCCTCTGATTTTTAGGATAGGGTTGTGTAAATAGAATATGTATTCTTTGTAAGCAATCAGATTGTAAATCTGGTGTCAGTGACGTATTTTTGTAAAGTGGGTTTTTGTCAAGATTCAAATGTATTGCTGACATTTTTACTATAAAAATCTATTTTTATACTTTCATAGTGTTTTGACCCCAGTTTGGGGTCAAACTATTGACCCATAGCTAGGAACCTATCAGGTGGAGTGTCTTTCTATCACCTTCTCTATTGTTCAATTCAGAATTGTCCTACTCTTAGACTGGCTTGCATCCTTGGCTCAAGAGCAAATATATATCGAGTTTTATTAAATTCAACCAAAACTACTTAATATTTTAATATTGTTTTCTAATTTTTGAATATAATGTTAAACATCAGGATCAAAATTGTGGATAAAATGTCCATTTTTTTTTTTTTTTTACATATATTGAATATTCAATAAAAATTTCAAGATGCAATCTCATCAGAAGAAATACTGATTCATTTTCTATGGATTATCTATCCTTTACAGGTTATTTAAAGCCAGGAAATTGTTTTTTTTTTTACACTGTAAGAATTTTTTTTAATTTGGGAGAGATAATGATTTATTGATACAAGTTTTACCAGTTAATGCCTGGCTGAGGAAGAAGTGAATTCATACCTTTTCCAAGGGTATATGCACCTAAGTGAATATAATGAACCCAATAGGAATTGGAACTCAGCTCACCTATTAGCAATTTGGAGCGATTATCCATTACCCCACCTACACATCTAAGTTTACAACACATGGTATTCCCAAGTGGTTACTCATCTAGATACTGCTGTGGCACAACATTGCTTAACTTCGGTGATCTTGAATCATGTATAAAGCATTTAATGTGTGTACAAAATATGCATAAATATTTGTCATGTGTTGTTCTGATGTTTTTCTAGATCTGTGGAACTGTTTACATGTGACATTTTATTTTTTGAATTGCTTCACCCCCAAGCAAGGTGGGAATGCCACTAGTGAGCTGGGGGCTGCAGAGAGTGAAAATGAGAGAAAAAACTGAGTATAGGGAGTATCAAGGAAAGGACAAAAAGATGAACGGGATTCAAGAAGATAGAGGATGGTGATTGAGATTGTAGTTATCAGGGAAGCAAGAAAAGTGAAGAGAGTTCCACAGGTAAGAAGTGCGAGAAAAGAAACTGTTGGAGTAGAAGTGGCAGTTGTATTTAGCTGTTTCAAGAGTAAAAGGATAAGACCTAGATGCCAATCTAGCAGCATGCTTAAATTCAGGTATTCAGGGGCATCAGGGGGAAAAAAGCTCTATCACACTGACAATATTCAGTTTCTTGATAATGACCAAGACAGAAGAAAAAAATAAGAACTTCTGACAATTTATCCACAAACATGTACAATGTCTTATTTGAAAATTGAAAAAAAAAAAAAAATATAACAGACCACCCACCTTATTCGTTGAATTAAAACTAGTTTAGATGTCTTTTACACACAATTTATAAGATTTCATGCCTTTTATATCTGACATCACAGTATTATGGAATCAGACTAGATACAAGGACTGGTTGTCCACCCTGTCTGGGTAAACATTAGCCAACCAAATACTTCATCTTCCTATATGAAAACCATTATACAAAATATAGTGTTTGTTTGTGTGTGCACATGTACACATTGTCAACCTTACAACTTCCTGCAGAAAAGGAAAATATATAAGTACTTTAATATAAAAGAATTTTTTTGCAGTTTATACCATTAAGTTTTTTTTGTTTTTTTTATGGATGAGTTTTAGTAAAATAAGAAACACAGAAATTGAGAAAGAATATAGTGGTAAAAATAAAATATAGATTTCCCAAAATACAAGATGGCCAGATTTGACAGGTGATCAG